AAATGTAAGAATATGAGAGATTGTATCCAAAAAATAAGGATCCTCGTCCCTTTTTATAGGGACGAGCTACCTGTTCTACACGCGCGACTTAGGCGAGTTTTGCCAGCTGTCCTCCTGCTCGTCCGTACAACAGCGCGCCCCCACTATCTCTAATGTCAGTGAACGCGTCGAATCTATCAGAGAATGTCAGAGTTCGTTATAGCCGCGGGCCACTCATAAAGCGCCGCGTGTCTCCTTCTCACGTGCTGGAGGCTCTCCTATTTATCCTGATGTTTGACCGAATCTTCGACGAGCGTTGAGCTGCTCCTCAGGTATGAGGTGGTAGAGCTTACAACCACACTCATTTGATCGTGTTTCCTCGACCATCTCCTTGAGCAGGCGGTGCTTATCCGATGCTACCGAGCCTACTCTCCCTCGTCGGCTACCTTCTTTCCTTCATTATGTATGTTCGGTCCCATTCGACCAGGTCGCTGATCTATTTTATTCGGCTAACCCAACGAATCGGTCTAGTATATAATATCCCATATCACCTGTGATGATTTACTGTGATAGCCAAGCTGTTATACGAAGGGCACAAAGCAACATGTACAACGGTAAGTCTAGACATATTCTTTGTAGACATAATATTGTTCGTCAGTTGATAAAAAATGGTATTATTTCCATTGACTATGTAAAGTCTAAGGAAAATTTGGCTCATCCTTTTACTAAAGGAAGGAATAGAGATCAATTAAGAATATTGCTAGAGGGAATTGGCTTAAAAATCCACAATGAAAAGAATGATCATAGTGGTAAATCTACCTTGAAAAATAAAGATCCCATAAACTTGGTGTTGATATCCGGATCGGCCTGACCGGGAATTAACATTTCTGTCATAGAAACCGGGAAGAGCTGGCCCCATGGCTGGGACCGAGCAACGAAGCGATGACGGGTGCCTAGCTGGGTAAAGACAAAAGTCAGTCGCGGCAATATCCTGCAGATCTGCAGAGATCGGCATTTATCATACTATGTGCCGACCTGTCAAGGTGCCGAGTAGACTGGTGTATTCCGGAGGCCTCGAAAAGTCTTAACGTTTAGGTGCCGACCTGAGGCCTGGGAAGGACGGCCCGAAGATGGGTGCACGGTTGGATAATAGTATAATACTGCCACTTGACTAGTAATGATTGAGTGATAGGACAAGCCGCCCTAACCTATCGGCCTAGGGTATCTAGCCCGACAAAAGGGAAATAAGCATTAAATGCCACCCATGTGAGCATTAAATGCATAGCATGTCATGATTGGGGAAATCTCCCATCGAATTTATTATACTGACAGAACGGCGCTGACCTGATCAACAAGAGTACTGTACGACAAGACCGTGAACAGTGTCAGAATAGTAACATTTAATGATGCTATAAATAGGAGCCACCCTCATTTATGTTGTGGTTGTTGAATCCTCAACTACTTAAGCCTTCTCTCTACTTTCTCTCTCTAAAGCTTGTAAATCCTCAACGGCAACGAAGGTGCCGACCTCGTACGAGAGGCCGATCTCGTAATTACGTAATAAAGCATAATTAATCTGTAATTTCCCTTTGTTTTATGCTCTTTACTTTCATCAAATCTTATTTTAACCGTTGATCGTATCCGTCCATCAACACTTGGTTCAAGGGAAAAACTAAGCTATGAAAATTTAGTTAATCACTTGGAACATAAGAACGTTCAAAAGCTAATCCCTAAAGCAACCCAAATGCAAGATTACCTGTTGATTGTGCTGAGGGTAAGTCATCTTGACTTTTAATGAATCTCTAACCTTGCAAAGGTGGAGTATTACATGATACTTTTGATAGAAAGGTCACCTATATAAGTGTGAAGTGTGGGTCGTTTCAAGAGTAAACACTTATGAATCCAAAGTGCTGTCCATGGCCAAAACGGACACAACAATAGAACGGAATGGTGTTAAGACTTTATTGTGTAACTGTCATTGTCTTGGTGTACACGATGGAGGAATAGGCATTATGTCTACTAGGCCGTCAGTACATCCGATGATGTTTACTAAGAAAGGTTCAAAGTCACAAGCTACCTTTTCTGATGCGATAGAGTTTTGTGAGGATTGAGCACAAAAGTCTGTATATATGAGTATTTCTTTACTTTATCTTTTGTGAGGGATTGTTAGAGAAAGATAAAGAAAAAGGGCAGGTATTTCCTCCCCACATGCTAAGATACTTGCTTCCAACATGCCCACATGCAACTTGCATCATGGCCACATGCCAACTAATTAAAAAAAAATTATTTTATATTCAATCGGGAAGGATTACCTCCCCTATAAATAGACCTTCGGCCAGAAAATGAAAGGGCACCAAAAATCTATATATAT